AGAATAGAATTATTTAGTAAAATATTGAGTATCATAAGATTTTCTATATTTTTATTAATAAAATTATTAAAAATTTTTTTAAAATTCTTAAAATTTTATTAATTAATTCTATCTTTATGCACTAAGTAATCTGATTCTAGACATAAATTTATATTAGAAATATATAATAATATTTTATATTTATTACTTTTAAACAAAATATATCAAATTTTACCAAATTTTACTAAATTTTACTAAATTTTATTAGATTTTATTAAATTTTACTAAATTTTCTATAATCTAACTTTATTACTAATTAAATAACTAAATCTAAGATTTAAAACACTTAGAACCTAACCTTGGAGCATCACTCAAGGCTAAGAGCTAGAAAATTAGTAAATTTGAGATTAAATATACTTAGGACCTAGACCCAAAGTATTGCTTAGGCCTAAGAGCTAGAAAATTATAATTTAAATTATGCTAATAATTAAATAACTAAAAGTAAAGATTTAAAATACTTAGGACCTAGTTCCAGAGCATTGCCTAGGCCTGAGAGCTAGAAATCTATAAATTAAACTAATATCAAATAATAATAAATTTGAAATCTAAAAAATTGCTAAGTCTAAGCTCAAAAATACTTAGAACCTAGCCACGTAGCATCATCCAGGCCTAAGAGCTAAAAACTTTAAAATCTATTTTGTCTTAGAGTATTATACAAATTCAAGATTTAAAATACTTAGAACCTAACCCTGAGCATCACTCAGGCCTGAGAGCTAAAAAACTATAAATTACTAATTATATCAATTAATAAAATTAATAACTACAAAATCTAAGATCTAAAACACTAAGGATCTAGCCCCGAAGCATTGCCTAGGTCTGAGAGCTAGAAAACTATAAATTAATATTACATTATTAATTAAAATTAATAATTACAAAATCTAAGATTTAAAACACTTAGAATCTAGCTCTGGAGCATTATTTGGGCCTAAGAGCTAGTAATCAAATATGAAAACCTTATTGTATTAACTTTTTTAACTAGAAAAAAAATAATAACATTACATCTTTTTTAAGCTCTAACAATAATCATACTTCTCAACAAATATAGCAAATTAAACATTACAAAGATCACATATAAACTGCATATACTCATGTTTATGTAGAATAGCAGATCAATTACATTTGCATTCTAATATCTATCCATCAATTGGACAAGCTATTAGGAAAATCAATATATAGTTGACACTCTGAATTAATTATAGTATATTTTAAATTCATATTTAATATTACAAATCTAGATGGACCTTGATCACTATAGTCAGTTTAGGTTACAAATAAAACTGGTTAAGTTTTAATTCTTACATGTTGTTTTTATTTTGTAGTTTATAATCTTAGTATATCTTAGTATATAGTATATTAATATATACAACTAATATTACTAATTAAAATATAAGTAAGGTCTCATCTTAATATCAAAAAAAATCAATATAAATAATTATTAATATAAATATTATTTTATATTTATTAATATTTATTTTATTTTATAGAAAAAGAAATCAAAAAATATAATTTCATAAATTGCTAAACTGCTATATTAATTTGAAAAAAATATGAAAAAATCTAAAAATTCTTGTATTATTCTTTTAAAACAAATTCATAACTATTAATTAAATATATTTTCTTATAATGCTTCATATTATAATATTAATAAAAATCTAATAAATTGATAGCTAACATGCTATCTAGATGATAATGATGATAATAAGTATTATTTTTAACAACTAGCTTTAAAAATATTAGCAATAACATCCCACTTAGTAAAATATAAAAGAATATTAATATTAGGATAATATGAAAAAATAAACAAAATCTTGAAATAAAAAAATTAGAAAATATAACTAAATTATATTGTTATAATTTTTCTTATTCTAAAAAATTATTAGCTAATTATAGAAACATCAAAACTCAAAAATAATTAAAAAAAATAATTAAAATATTTAAAAATAATTTAATTAAAAATTATATAGATAATGAAAATAATGAAAGCAATGAAAATGAAAATAATATTGAAATATTAGACTATAATGATAATGAATTTAATTTATTAAAAGAACTACATAAGAATAATAAATTTAAAATAGAAGAAATTATAAATTTAAATATAATTAATAATAAAATTACTAGAAATATTCAAAAAAATAAAGTTAAAATAATTGAAAATAATAATTATAATCTATTAAATCTAATAAATAGATTTATAAAAAATTATAAAGAAGAAATTGAAGCAATAGAAGGAGAAATAGAAGAGGAAACTAAAGAAAAAATTGAAATAATAGAAGAAGAAATAGAAAAGGAAACTGAAAAAGAAATCATGAAAATAATAAAATTAAAGAAAGAAATAAAACTGTTATAACTCAAAATATTATAGAAAATAGTTATAATAATAATGAAGAGCTTAATAGTTCTACTTCACAATATCAATTAGAAGAAATATTAACAAAAAAATTTAAACTTTATAAACAGGAGTCTAAAAATTATAAGAATTAAATAAAAATATTTACAATATTTAGTTAAATGATTTATTTACATTAGTATAGATAATTAAAATTTTTTCTTATAAATTAAAATTTTTTATTATAAATTAATATTTTTTTTCAATAATTTATATTAATATAATGAGATAAATTTATTTTATTAAATAAAAATTTATTTTAGTTTTGATTATTAATTTTAAATAATATTTATTTTGATATAAAAAGATCATTTGCAGATTTGAAAAAATCATTAATAATTATATATTAAGAAGTTATTAGTAATCTATAATATGGAAAGTAGATATAAATATTACTTTTAAACATAAATGTATCATTAAATATTGATTTAAATAATGCAAAAACATTAAAATTTTATAGAGAAACTTATTGAATGATGAACATTTATATTCAGATTTATATAAATTATTAGCATTAAATCTAAATGATAAAGAAGCAATGAGAAGTAATTATCAAATGTTAAGAAAATATAAAAAAATTATTTAAAGATAATTAAATAATATACTTGTATTAAGAATACATAGTGCAACATATTGTATATTTATTTTGAATCACTAAAAGATTTAAATAAATCATTAAAATTGATTCTAATAATGCATTTGTATTAAGAATTTAGTATATAGAATTTATATCTTTGAAATATTAAGTAACTACATTAATTTATATAAGGTCTAATAACATAAACAATTGATATTTTTGCATCAACATCATATAGATTAATATGAATGATTTGCTTTAATGTTCAAGAGATTTTTTATAATTTTTTAATATAATAAAATTATCCTTAAGATATTAGTGTATCTATATTATTTGGCACAAGATTTAATAATTTATTAAGATCATAAGTGATAGATATTTTTTTTAAATTGAATAAATTTATCTTGAAATATAATCTTATAAATAATTTGTATAAATATTCAAAAGATTCTTTATAGTTATTTAATTTGTCCTTAAGACTTAAGTTCATTCATATTGCTAAAAAAAATGCTTTTAATGTTTTAATAATTTAGCTAAAGAATTATTAGAATTAGGATGAAATAATTATATTTCTAAAAGATATCATATTTGACATTTTAGTTAAAAAGTTTTCTAAATAAATTTATTTTACTATAGAATTAAGACTGCTTGTCAATTTTAGGTGAGTTTCTTATTCCTATTAATAATAAGTCTGCTTTTTCTTTTGACATCAAATTAAGATTTTCAAGAATATTATTTATTGTTGAACGTTTTTTCAGTTCAGTGTTTCAACATTTCTTATAAAGTTTAGTGTATTCTGTTGGTGTTCTAGGAATTATTTGTTCTCTATAACTTCTGAATGTTTGACAAAGTATGACAAAGCTATTATCAGTATATTAAAAATAACAATGCATAAACTTGGACTTCAATAATACTGACTTTGGTAAGCACATTTGACTTTTAATAGACTTTCGAGTTTCAATACCATTTTCGAGTTTCGATACCACTTTCAAGTTTCAATAACACTTTCAAGTTTTGATATTGATATTTTGATACTATGGTATTTATCAAAACGGTTTCGACACACCAAGATAGTTTCGAGAGGCATCATTAGTGTCAATAGACAAAAAGCTTTATTCACCCACAAGATTTTTCCGGCACGTGACCATAGCCAATTAGATTGAAGGATCAGCTTTCTGCGTTCTGAAATTTTAGTGTAAGCTATGACCTTTCTTAACTCTAAAGATGTGCTTATTACTTTAAAATCTTTATAGTTATTGTTTTGATTTTACGTTACACCTGATCTTTCGATCTAATTGGCTAAAAATCACGTGCCTGAAAAAATCGTGGGTGAGCTACTAATGTCGGTAAAAATCTAGAAATCACAAGACAAAGTCACAAGATTAGAACAACCAATCGGATAAAAAAGAGACACACCATTTCAGATGCCTATAAACCATAAGTAGCTGCGCGACGTTGTCACGCAAAACCAGGAACGGAAGATGGATTTTCAGATCGAGTTGCAGACGAAACT